TGAAAAGTAGGAAATCCGGGTCGCTATGAGCCTTGACACACCACTAATAATGCTGGCGGGTTCTTAATAACTACATGCGGTGATTCTATTATAGTTGAAGAGTTTATATCTTTAATTTCAACTCGATTCGATCAGAATCGGTGGAGCTGTCCCATCTTTTGAAATGCTTCGAAATGGTCCCCTTCCTTCATGGAAAATCACTTGCCGCTTACTAATCGGAACGACTCCACCCGTTACGGAAGGTCGTGAATCTGCACATCTCAGCAGCCCAAGGGATAAGAATGCAGCGTTGCCAGTTCGATTCAGCGGTGGGGGTAATTCAGAAAGGAAGGAAACAAAGAAAGAGGAAAAAATGAAACAAAATGGCCTGTCGCTATTAATATATGTAATAGATTCTTAGTAGAAATAAAGGGACTTCCACCACGTAATACCCTCCTACACCAAGGCCTATATCATCCTGCGAACTCCCCTGGACTATGGACGTATATTGAAAATCACACTTCGGTGAATGAAAAGGTAAGGAAGAGGTCAAAGGAAGGAATATTCGTAGGATAGTATGACTTGGGACAATAGGTCGGTATTCAGCTGAAAGAATCAAAGGAAACAAAGAGCTAATAGAGGCGGGGAAACGACTTGCCCGGAAGTGTGTATAAAGAGAGGCACGCGAGGTCAGGGATAGAGAGTGCTTCAGCGCGGGATCAGAGGAGGATCGTGGAATTGGAGAGTGACATTGCGCAGTAGACACGGGGGTGTGTATCGAATATAATACCATAATCAGATCACATCGGGTTATGTATCAGATACAGGAGAAGTCTGAGTTTGAGGTGTCTGGAGAATGAAGATTCGGAGGTCTACGCCCTAGAATACCACAACGTTGTAGACCCATCCCCACCCGCGGTTTGAATAGGGTCTTCCTGAGGGTTTAAGGTTATCAAACTCAGTGAAAGGTATGCTCATTTCTTGTCCTTTGCAATTGTCGAAACCTGTCAGAATTATATTCGTCCAGCCCCTCCGTAGGAGAGGATGTTCTTGAACAAATGAAATCTGGAAACTGACTTTTCGCTTAGGGTATTGAAGTTCGATACCGTCTCACACATTTATTCTTTGTGTTTATGCATGTTAAATATCCGGCCCAATATCACAATTTCAGGCATCTCCAGGAGGAGTCAAACACTATACTGCTTCCCCAAGCTCAATAACATGCAATAAAAACATTTTCAGGTTATCTTCCTGCATGATCATGAGGTTACGCCTCCGTCAGCCCCAAGACTCGAGGCATTTCCGTACAAAGTTCACATGTAACTATGTATCTATCCCATGTTCCCACTCAAGACTTCGTTAGCGCTGGAACTGCCAAGCTGGAGCCAAAGATGCCCGTCTTGGGGAACTTTAAAAGATGAGTGCCTGCAAAGAGCTCTGATTGGGCTGATAGATATATTTTTTCAATAAAATGACGCTTGGCAGCTAAGCACGAGAATACAACCAACGCTGACGGCTACCACCCGCCCGGCTTTATCTCGTCCTAAACTTAGAAATTTGGCAAGTAGTTGGGGTATTGCCCTCTAGAGTAGTCTAATTAGCTGTTTCGAATTTGTGCCCGCGGCGCCAGAAACAATAAGAGGGTAAGTAAACGGAATTCTAATTGTGGCAGAGCGAGTATTTCTGCATGACGTATATAAATGCCTTTTCATACGTCATCGTAAAGCCTACCTTAAGTTAGAGAAGGCTACAGCAGCCTAGTCTTAGATTGCACAATCCAACCCAGCTACCTCTCGAGCTCCCTGTCTCCCTATTCATGACCCCCACAGCAAAACCAAAATAACACGCTCCAGGTACGTTCATCTTTTGAGGACCAAACAATTCTTCTAACAAAGTTATAGGTACGCACTATACAATCACTCACTACAGAGCCTAGCTGTGCCCACCTGCTCAGCGTTTTCCAATACTATCAACTCAAATACAGGATATTTCACTTCAGAACTGCCAGCACGCCAGGCCTGCCTGCTCGCTCAGTCTTCCTGATAGATCAAATTTCCTGCCCGCTCAATCCTCTTGCTCTTGCAACCTGCTTGCTCGCGCTGCTGAGTTGCGCATCCTACCTACCCGCCCAACTTCCTTGGTTATCTCTCAATACAGAAGAGGTCTCTGGATACTAAAGACTAAGCGTGGGTAGGCAGGACTGTAGGTGCATGGGGTCGTGGGTTGTGACTATCTAAGTGAGTTTTTAACCCTGACCCTATCCATATCCACTGTTCTAATTTGCGCAGCCAATCAAGTGCTATCGACACTCACCTCCGCTACCAGAGGATAAATAATTGTGATGCGCACGAAACAATAAGTCTCGAGGATTTATTTTCTTAGACGATACGAGAGAAGACGAGACCTATAGGTAGGGAAGATAATTAATCTCGAGACAGTCTCGTGACGTCTCGAAACATTGAAAAATGGAGCGGATCTGATACATACCTACGCCAATCCCGAATCTATACAAACCTAAACCCTAACTATTATTGGGTTTATTAGTAGACGTGGAAGGCCTCATGGCGTGCCGCATTAATTCGGATGATCAACGTCCCGCTACACAGGACGTCGGAACTGCCTGTTTTAGGGGTAGTGTGTAGCCATGAAAACAATTCATTGAAATATGTTATCTATGGCCTCTCAGGGCTTTGCGCAATGCCTAGCCCAAGTGTTTTCAACGACAGAACTCTCCCTTCCCAGATCCAAGACGAGACAAAATCAAGGCAAATCTCGTCTTATTTTGTCTCGTGCCCATCACTGATAAATCAGCACCGTTGACATTCTTCCAAAGCCCGCTCCGTAGTTGCTCTAGCAACTTGTGCTGAGTCGGTGGTGGTTTTGAGGAGACTCTCTTACAGAACGTGAAAAGAGGACAACACACAATGTGAATCATTTTGAACAATGCAGCTTGAAAAAGGAAGAGTAGTGGTCTAGTGTGCTTATTTGTTAGAAGTAACCCACATCGTTTTTATTTGAGCCAAGAAGGTCTTTTGGCGTTTTATTGTCGCCAACTCCACTTGCGACAGTCGAGTGCAGCGACCACACAAATCACACTAACAACTCGCACTTATCGCGTTGAGTGCAGCCATTGGATTCCTCGATCTGAATCTGAACAGAGTGGGGGCGGGGTCGGGGGGGGGGGGGGAGCGTCAGTTCAGATTTCTAAACTTCAGGAACCTGGGAGGCGGCGATGTGATTGGTTGGGCCAGGAAATCTAGGTTCTAAACTAGTCCTAAATTTCCACGGGAGGTCATCCATTATCTTTATAGATTGGACAAATATTGTAATTATCGGAAACTCTAAGTCAACTACCCGAGTATCTCTGCCGATGAAAAGCTATAGGACGTCATTTTTGCACTTGATCCACCAAAACACCTTCTCAATAACTCTGAAGTCAAACCATGGGTCAAGCGACAGTTCGGGTTCGTCGCAAATCCGCTCCGACTCCTGGTTCGAGTCTCGGCCAACCTCTTTCACTTCAAGAGGTCATATCAACTCGTCCTTCGGAGCTACCAATCTGCGATCGCTTGTTGATTGCAGTTAATCTTGCCAGGGCACTTGTAAACCTTTATTCTTCTCCCTGAATTAGAGATTGGGGAATCAACACGAGACATTTCTTCAAGTGCTAGGAAGAGCCCAGCTCAAATATTGGTCATTGGGCACCATATCTCTCACTGAAACGGGATAGTGACAATCTCTCTGACTTAGGGGATGATGATAGAGACGTGTATCGCTTAGGGCGTCTCAGTACTTACCCAAAACCACCGGTAGACCAACAGTCATGCCTTCAATGGATAAGGCGCCTTGATATCCTGAGGTACAGTCGCACCTCGCTATCTCGTACCGATTTGCGAGACAGTTACTGCCCTTCTCCACTAAAAACTATTTGTTGTCTCGTATATTTGCTATCTCGTACGCGTACGGGTTTGGCTCGCAGAATACGCTAACGACATACCAAGGTGCGGCTGTATTGGACCACTCTTAGCTCGATATTCTAAGCTGGACTGAGCAAGGCCCCAGGTGTATCTCTAGAATTGCACTTATAGGCGGGGCCACAGGTAATTGGTCTGTTTCTCAACGGAGGTAGGTAAAGCTGTTCGGTAATATCGCGCAACATTTTAAATTTATTCTGCTAAAGCCAACGAGGTTATGATCAGGCCTAGGATCAATAGTTTTGGGACTGATCTAGTTTCATCGAGATCTGACACTTGGCCCCATATTTTTTTCTTTGCATTTCTTTTGAAGGAAAAAGGTCAATTGAGCTTAAACACTCTACCTCAGGGATAATCAATTGAACTGAAGAGGAGTGTCTCTTCAGATTGAGCATCAATCATTCCGGCTCAGATCGAGCGCAACTTTCGGTCCTCTCGATCAGTGGCACCATGGTACGGCTTTCAACGCATTACCCCCGAAACTGTGCGCTATATTCAGAGCCCATAAGTACAATGGGGAACTTCTAAACTATAGATTGCCACGGCATCATGATTAAGGCTCGCATGCGATATTTGCCAGGATTTTTGACTGGTTTGTAGGGAAATGGCAATCTATGTAGGGAAGCGCTGTTAGAATAGTTGCTAGATGCATTTCCAAACAATGTTTGGACGTCAGAGTGCCATAAGTATGGTGTATGGAAGAATCAACAAAGTTAGCACCAACTAAAACACTCTATCGCTATGCCCTAGGGTGGGTATTGCATCAGGTACCGACTCTTGTTACTATCCTGACAAACCTACAAGCTAGCTCTACTCGTAGTTACTTTACGTTTCCAAACTCTGGGTTTGCATGCCAACAAATTATGTATGCGCGGTTTAGGCCCATTTGCAGACCCAACCGCGTCCAAAAACACTCCGGAACTACGAGCAGTGCATACATCAGATTCGCATAAGTATCGCACTCTCGCCCTCACAATTAACCCGACCTACAGTAACAGTTTAGAGACCTTGAACTTCCAGTCTAGATATCTACATTGCTACTTCGAAATGGCGTCACCTTTGAGAGACCCGGACCTCAGTCAATTCAAATATGACGCAGAGTTTCACAAAGGCGTTGTTATAAACACCGACTGCCGCAACGAGAAAGAGGCTTGGAAGACCGGCTCCACTCTTGGGCGCGAATACGACACATACTTTCTCCATAGTAGCAAGGGCCCTGGGAAAAAATCGTATCGTATGGTCAAACGTACTTATGAAAACTCACTCAAGAGGGAGTTGGCTCCGTTGATAGCACTGCGAGAGGTACGCTTCTCTATCCAAAGCTGGGCCCTGATTAGCTAATTTAGAGCTACCCCCCGCGCAGCATCCCGATTTTTTCGCCAAATTCCTTGGATGGTACAGTAACCAGAGGGAAGGGACCATCTGGATCGCCATGGAATACCTTAGTGGGGGTGACCTCCAGTCGTACGTTGAGAAGGACGAAGTCAGGGCCAAGGAACACTGCCGGGAAGTAGTTACCCAGATACTAAAAGCGCTTGAAGCGATGCATGCCATGGACCTGTGCCATCGTGACCTAAAGTCGTCGGTTTGTCTTCTATCCAACTTTATTATGTCCCTTCGACGCGTATGAGGAAGGCTGATTATTGTATTGAATTAGAACATACATATCTCATCCATCTCTCCACTGAGTGTCAAGCTTTCTGGCTTCGATATAACAGCTTGCACCGAGCCATCAGCGGATGTATATACCAAGGCGGCTGATATGTGGAATTTGGGGGTGCTCACACACGTGATGTTTACCGGAACCATACCATTCCCCAACCCCGGTCGCCCGGCATCTTTCCCCGAGCACCATTTGATTGAGGCATGCGCACCGGATATGCTAGTAAGTTTCATAAAGCAAATAATGGGATATGATCCAGCTCTAGTCAAACCTTTATCTGCCTCCGATGCTCTTCAGCACCCCTGGATCGATCCTACGCCTGTGAAAATATCAAAGGGTGGGAACTACTCTACATATAAATATGATGCGAGCTTTGACAAAAATACCGTTACACACACCATCAACGGGGATACCGAGGTCTGGAGGAGAGATAAAAGGCTTGGGGATGGAGGGTTTGGGGAAGTGTTCAGACATATTAAGGTATCCAATAAACAAGAATTTCGCGCTGTCAAATCGATCCAGCGATCCGTTTACCAGAACGATAAGAAAAGTATCAGAAGGGAGTTAAATACTCTCATAGCCATGCTAAAGGTAATGGATTCTGCCGAAGACCCGGGGTTCCGTTGGCTAACCCATCTTGTATATATGTAGTACCGCGATTTATTCGTTGAAGTCTACGGATGGTACGAGGACGATGAAAAGGCAGTCTTTATCGCCATGGAATATCTCCCTGAAGGGGACTTGCATGCCTATATGCTGCAGGATAAAGTGCGTGCTCAAAACAACTGTAGGGAGATAAGTACGCAGATCCTGAAGGCACTCAATATATTGCATCAAGAAAAGATATGTCATCGCGACCTAAAGCCACAGATTTGACCTTCCTTCCCTTTATCGCCTACGACTCCAACCGCTGATGAATGCCCCCAATAGAACGTGCTTGTCGCATCTATCGTTCCCTTAAAGCTCAAGCTCTCAGACTTTGGCCTCGCAAAGTCAACGATTCAAAGTGCTAGTTTGATGAAAACTATGATTGGTTCGAAAAACTACATGGCTCCAGAGATGCTAGGGATTGGCACCCTGACGGAGGGCCATTACACTGATGCAGTCGACATGTGGGCTTTGGGAACACTTACCTATGAGATCTTTACCGGCCTACCACCATTTTGTATTAAGCAAGATTGGGGTGACGATGATGATGACGATGATGATGAAGATGATGAGGATGACGATAACGATAACGGTGGTGATGGCGGCACGGCCTACTTTACGGCACTGACCAGTCCACAGGTTAATCTCAGTTGGGGCGGGTTAGATCAGTACTGCAGAGGATCTCGTAATTCAGACTTTCCATCGCGCCCGCTGTCCGCTGCCTCGGCACCTCGCACTCTTGTAGACTTTTTATTCTGGCTGTTGCGCCCTGCCCCACACGAGCGTTTGTCAGCCTTTGTGGCTCTTCAACACCCATTCATCAGAGGAAGGGACTTTGATAATGGTCCCTCGTGGACGAAAAAACAATTTAATCCTGAGGATATGGACAGGCCAGAACGCTACAAATTTGGCCGGTAAATTCCTGCTGTATATTTCTTATGTTTCCTTTTATCCTTTGTGCTTTGTTGTAGGAATATTGAATCATTATCGTTCTTTTCATCTCTGATCTCGAATGTCAGAGACCCCAGGGGACCTATATAAGACGTGTAAATACATGCTCGGCGATCTTGCGCATACCTATTCAAATCTCATCCTTTTTTCCAGGCAAGTTCACTTTACCCCCTTAGACGGTTAGTTATTCTTTGTATAGTAGGTAGAGGTTAGGGAGGGTGCGGTGCTTTCGAGAAGTCACCCATTCTCTATCACAACCATACATAGGTGGGGGTAAATAGCTGGGACTGCGCTAAAAACGAGATGAGGTGGTATTTAAAAGATTCACCCCTAGATTCATACATAGTCTACAGTTGATTGAACTGCGCGCCACCAGTCAATACCCTGTGCAGCAAGACGGGCCCGCTTGGGGGGGAGGAGATTCCCTGTCCCGGGCGGTGCAGGAGTATTTCGACTTTGCCTGGTTCAGTTCTGAACTGTTTGCACAGCATGCGGAATAGTGGTCAGAAGCGCAGATGAGCTGCGGGGTCGAGAGGGGTCGTGAGGGGTTGAGTGGGGTGGGGGGGGGGGGGGAGGGTCAAGAGGGGTTCACTATATACATGCAGTGTCATGCACACATATAACAACTTTGTTTTTTCCCTAGTTCAGCTGTCATTGCTTCGCTTTCCCATGACGGCCTGCTAAACGCAGAAACTTTGCGGGCCTGACAGGGGCAGGGTTCCCTGCACCCGCTATATAAAATAACAAGATCGCTGCAGGGATCAACCGTTGGTGGCTTGGTGAGACAGAGATGTTCAGATCCATTGATCATGACCAAGACGTCGATTTGGCCAAGTGCGCGCACAATCAGTCAAGATTGATGATTTCAGAACGCACATATTAAGTAGAATGGGGCGTTCCATCCATCAAGCTTGCGTAATAGCGCTACTCCATCCATCAAGTAGAGGTGGATTCTGTCGATTAATTGCAAAGGAGAATCTTTACAAAGCATAAAACAACCCGACACATGACATGAAATAAACGTGACCGGGCATGGAGCTCTCGAAAGGTGTTTTAAGGAGGATGATATAAAAGGACAAGGAGTCGGGGGACACTGCATACCTGTCCTTGCCCGAAGGACCCCGAGGTCACCTAGTTTTGGCATGCTCGATGATGATTAGGTCGACCATGCAAGGACAAAACATACTTTTTCATTGGAATAAATTCCGCTTTCTTCTCTACCTCTGCTGAAATTGTCCTCGAGGGGGGTGGGTAGTCTAGGCTTAGACATCGGCCCTAGACAAGGAGAGATGTTAATGATGAGGTCGATGTGGTACTACTAGAAATAATGCGAAACCTACTTGTTTATCGGAAGTGACCTCTTGATCATTGGATCAACAACCGATCAAAACGCCATTTGACCAGAGGGTGGCCCCGTCCATCATCTTGTTCGATAGGGCGCTCATTTGGCCAAATGAGTGTCTAGATGAACGGAGTATAACAGCTCTCTTCCGATTGGCCATTTCCACCAGGTCTCAAAAGCAATCCTACTGAACTGCAGGAGGTCTGTTCGAACTGTAGGTCCGTCAGCTCTTGGCGCAACCGGGGTATCCTGTGACTGGACAGCGACCCGGGTCGAAATCGCAAACTCTCTATTCACGTTATTGCAGTATACTACTTAACTACTCTACATGTCCCTACTGTACAATTTCGAAAAGATAATTTACCTGTCCTGAGCGCTGAGGTGCAAGAATTTAGCTGTCCCGAAATAGTGCCCTGTTTATCCCTCATTGGAGATGGCTATAAAAGAATAGTGTGCCAGGAGGGATGAATTATCTTTATCCTCAGTAAGAGATAATCCTTACTGTTTCGCAGAATAAAAAAACAAAATTCAGTATGGGTTGAACCTGAGCACATATATGAGGTTCTACACACTTTATCCACTACACTACAAATCAGATATAGCTACTACTAGAAGAGAGCCATGTCGTATGGTCGGTGAGAATTTTTACGGGAGTAGGCATGTAAATCATCTGCCCGCACCGGTTAACCGGGGGTGAAACGGGGTAATATGGGCCTCTTTGAACATTTCCTGTTTATCTATCCCCAGAGGAAGGTAATCTTATGCCGGCTCCAATTTGGCTAGATAAAGCTATGATTATCTCCAGGTAGAGGAATAACTGTACTGTAGGGATGTATTATCCGACCGAGCAATTGTAAGATACAGCAATCCACCAATAACCTTTTAACTAGCTTGTTATACATTTTCATGACGCACTCCCTCACTCCTTATAATACCTAGACACCGTGCAGGGCGGAAGGGTGCGGGTAAATTGGTCCCGCTGCTTCGATCTGCAGGCGGCCGCCAGCACCAGTACTGCCGGACACAGTACTAGATGATGCCTCTGGCGATGAAGCATGCTGGGTTTGCATCGTGTCAGTAGAGTAAACTTTAATAGCACAATGAATGGTGCGGACTGGCCCTGTGACTCCGTCGGGGAGAGGGTAGCGGGCAGGTTCAGTCCAGGTGTTTCTTGCAGATGTGCTAGTGCTGGCAAAGGGCGGGTGCGCGGCGGCGGCGCCCCAGCCGCTGGTGATACGCCCTTTCTTCCGCTGACCGTTCGAATTGCGGGGCCGCTGGTTATTGTACGCGGTGTGGAAGGGCGTAGGCTGCACAGTACCCGCTGCGGGCAACGACATGAAAGGTGGGACGTCAGACCCATATGAAGTAGGATAATTATAATCGAACCTCCCCCCCGTATTATTCTGGGTGGCCAGGTTAACGGCTTCAGTGGCCAGATCAACGGCCTGTTTGACCGACCCAACCAACTGCGTAAGCTGCTCCTGATGATTCCTCTCCGCCTCTCTGCGTTGTCTCAGATCTTCTTCACGCTCCTTCTTGCGTTGTCTCAGATCCTTTTTACGGTCTTTCTTTCGTTGTTTTAGATCTTCTTCACGTTGTTTCAGATCTTCTTCCCGCTCGTTCTTGCGTTGTCTCCGATCTTGTTTACGCTGCCGCCGGTATTTTCTCTGAGCTCGATCCATCCTAGTTGACAACTCGGTAACGCCTCCGTGAACCCCCGCAAGGGAATTCTCTTGCCTCCTATGACCCTCCTCGAGCCGTAATAACCTTCTGTGGAAATCGACTTCGTCCGTGGCGCTAGTATCAGTCCTCGGCCTCGTTCCTGATTCTTGAGGGGACGGTTCCGTGTGCATGTGTTGGACGACGGGTTCTTGTGTAGGTGGGGAATCCATGTCCGAACCCTCCCCGGGCTCACCACCTACTCCGTCCATAGTTTCCCAAGAGTCACCGTCGTTCGCTTCCATCTCTCGCGTTGCGCGATGTTGGGCTGCTGTTGGCTCGTCGTCTCCCAGGTCTGTGCCTAGGGGAGTTGGTGCCCCTTGAGAGCAAAGGTCCATTTGGTCCACTGCATGGGACCCATCGCCGGGTGGATATCCCGAGAACGTGACAGGTCTGTCTTCAAGGAACGTGATGTTTCCGCGATTGGGAGCGACGGAGGCAAGGTTTCTTCCGGAGGATGCTCTTTGTTCAAGTCCTTTGGTGAAGTCCATGTGAGAGGAGAGATGCAGGCTAGTACTGGCAAAAATTTCAAGTCTGTTGATAGGTACTTTGTCACGTAGAGTAGTCAGGATGGGTAAACACACTTAAAGTATCAACAACAGACTTCAATATTAGGCGAGTTCTCCCCTAGACCCCCAGAGGAGGGCGGAGTGCCAGCGCAGGTCTCCCTTGGCGGACTTGGCTGTCTGCCTGAACGTATGACTGGAATGCCTGCCAGTGGCGTGAGGCAATCCTTACCGGCGCAGATCTGAGGCGCCGCGGATGCGATAGCCGATCGCGATTAGCCAACCATTTCATCCTCCTCATGCAGTAGTTCACGCCTAGCACGGGCGCCCATTGGTGAACCTTCATTGTCCGGTACTTATTACCTGCCCCGAGTATCTCGCTGACAAAGAGCCTTTGCATAATATGATTCTAGATCCTGTTTACGGATCCATGCATAGCGGTTTCTAACACGGCTTCTATTTAGCACTGCTCACAGCAGATACGAAGCACCCGGAAATATAAGTCTTGGTCTAGCTGGAGTTACTAGAGTATTGGAAAATATACCAATCAATGTAGCTGCGTTTTCGGTACTTGTTTCCTGTCGCGAGTACAGTCGCACCTCGCTATGCGAGAGGTGCATGGGGTTTTGGTGGGTGGGGTATGGTGCACTGGCTAAACTGATGGATGAAATGTGTGCAGAGGATGGGGGTGAGAGTTTTGTTATGTAAATGAGGTTTGTATGTGTGGCTGGGTACATATATGGGAGTTTGTTGTGGCACTTGGCCAAGATGCCTACTTACTAGTACACTCGTCTCTTGGTCAACGACGAAACCGGCTCGATGACGAATGACTACTTTTTGGGCTGATAGTCAGTCAAAGCAAAAGGGTCGGAGCGATTTTGTTGGCTTCGATTGGCCTATTCGCCATCGGACCGGTTTCGTCGTTGACCCAGAGACAACTGTACTCTACTTTATACTTGCCAAGATTCCTGCTTGCCAAGATTCGCGCGTCTGCAGCATGGTCCCTGATAGGTTTGTTGGATCGTAGGTCAGTAGGCTCGCTTTTTATACTCGGTTATCACTGGGGTAAGCTTAAGATTGTATAATGAATTGCAGACACAGTAATAATAATAATTCCCCCAAAAACAGGGCGTGTGGTTATTGCTTTTGATCAGCGTCAGGGTGGCCGGAAGCTACAGGGGTGCATTGTAGATGTCACTCATGAGATATCACTCGGCCTATCCCTGCCATTCAGGGAGCCGAGGCTAAGCCCCGCACTTGATCTAGAGAGCGCAAAGAGACCCTACACCCAGATACTGCAGAGTCGACATCGAGACAGCGCGCGACTTCCCAGCTGTCAGAGAGCATCGCGATACTCCACTGTCACCCAGCGATATCGTGTGAATCCTTCCTACATGTACATACCCATCTTCCTCCTCCCTTGACGCCAATTACAATCCCTTCACCGTCACACCCCGGCTCCCTCCTCGGGCCTGCATGATACATACCTTCGATCAGTGTGCTATTATCCTCCATCATGCCAGCATCTGAATTGTTGAAAAATCTATGAGTACAGGCCTGGAATGTATATATATATAATTAAATCTTCTTCCAGTTCTAGAGTACTGACCGTCTCCCTGCACCCCACCCCGCCCACCGTCCCGCCCGTGCCACCGCGTCGAAAGAGGAGACATGCTGCTAATGACCTCCCCTTGCTTCATACATGGATGCGCCGCCTACGTTATTGTCAACCGTTGCTGGCTGATGCGATCCCCAAATAAGCGAGCGTCTTGAATTTCCACATCTCTCTCCCTGGACCATTGATGCTAGTGGCATTATTTGAATAGGAAGGCTGCCTATACGGATATATATCGTGATTGACAACACAGCGAATACATGCATCGATATCGCAATCTACCGTCGCATCAGCGTGAACATATACCCCAGCTCATCAATCTTTTATGACGCCTACTACGGGCAACCATAATTTGGGGGGAGGTTAAGGGGATGGCGCGGAATGGGAGCGATACTCGGCCGAAGGAGCACGGGCATCATCCAGGTTTCCCTGGCCGCGAAGTAAAGGAGAAGACTTACTAGATTAGACGTTACATGGCAATTGGAGGATGATCGCGTGCATAGCTTCTCTGATATGTACGGTTGTGGGCAGCGGCCTGCGGGGGTGTGGGGGTGTGTGGACCCGTCGTTTGCACTTACAATGTAAATTAAGCCTTATAGCCGAATTTGAATGCTTACTCCACTCTATATGTATACCGTGATTTCTGTTTCATGACGTTCGACGAAGGTATCGTCTACTTAAAACCCCCCTTCTTTCTCGCCTGCTCTACCTAGTTGTTAAGGAAAATGGCTAGTGCTAAGCGATAATTCTGTAGCGTTTAAACTGGTGATATTGTAAACCGGATTCCCTTGACTTGATGGTTTTATCATGCCCTCAAGTCTTCGCAGAATCCAGCCCTATTTATACATGTTGGAACCTATGCCAAGGCCCGCTTTCTAATACTAACTGATACAACAATAATAGAATAAGATAATGCTCCCGAAGCTAACCCAGATAGAAAAGCGCCCCCGCATAGTTCCGTCCTCCATTCTAATTCCGACACGTAACCATGAACCTTGCAATTGCCAGTCATCGGGCTGTACCATTCTATTATCCTAGACCTACTTCCCTAAGTAGAACAGCCTACAGCCGTAAGCCCCGCTTCCTATTCTATTCCGGGTGAGACACCCAATAGTAAGCGTTCCGTCATAATAGTATAACACTAGTGTGGTAACATCGCGTGCCCACACACTACCCGATACCTTTCTATGCTTGTCCTTTCGTTACCCGACCGTCCTCGCATCACAACCCGTCACTCGTATTCCTCACTGTCTTAAGTCTTTAGAACAGTGTTCCGTAGTTCCTATAACACTAGTATAATAGATACATGTATGTACTATACCCACTCATTTTCTGGGTTGGCTAGTGTTGTAAGGTGGGATCTGCTCGTAGTATTACCTCATCACCGACCGCGGATCATTGGGTAAAAAAAGAAGAGGATAAAAGTGCAAAGTAAGAAAAATATAGGAAATGACTTGTTGACATGTAATAGAAGCTCAGAAGACACAAGGAGACCCGCGTACGATCCCCCCCAACACCAACACCTATATCATACCGCAAACTCCTGAAACTACGAAAATGACAGCCTCAAAAGGTATGGGAGAGGTCAGAAGAAGACGCATTCATGAAATGACATGATGTGAGAGAGCAGCTGGAAGCCCAAGTGATCTAATTAAAAACGGGGAGCTGATAAGAGATAGGAGAAACGACTCGCTGAGAAATGTAGGCGAGGGCAGGTATAGACAATGCTTGATTGCAGGGTTGGAGGAGGATCGTGGCTTCGGAGGGATATTGAAATTGTGCAAGAGATTTGGGGAGTCGGGTGCCATTATCAGACACGGGAGAGGTCCGAGCCTGAGGTATTTGGGGGGTCAAACTCTGGAGGATCCTATTGTAGAGTTCCACAGTGTGGTAGACCCATCCTCGCTCCTAGCTAAAGTGGGGTCTTGCGTTGGATGCTCGGAGAGCTTGAGATTATCCAGCTGAGTGAAAGGTATTGTCATGTCTCTTTCGGACCACTCGATGAGCAGACGTACAATGTCTGTGTGCCCATTGGTAGCAGCCAAAGATATTGCTGTCTCGCCCGCTTTAGTTGTAGAGGTCGAACTCGCGCCTTTTTCTAGCAGTAAGCGTACTATATCTAGATAGCCCTTATCCGCTGCTTGTAGTAAAGCATCCCGTCCAGTCTTTGGTCTCTTTGCGGAAATATCAGCACCTCTATCCAGGAGGTACCGTACGTTGTGCAAGTGGCCATTACTGGCAGCGAGCTGTAACGCTGTCCATTCTGCAGTTCCACCGCGGATTGATATATCTGTACATGTCCCTGTGTCAACCAGCAGCTTTAATACATCAATTGACCCAAACTGCGCGGCCATGTGGAAAGCCATAAACCCAGCTTTCGATTTTGACGACGGATCAGCACCTCTCTCCAGTAACAGAGCCACCACCTTTGGATGGTTTCCCACCGTTGCCAAATGTAAAGCATCTTTCCCAGAGTTGTCCAGCATCTTTGCGGAAATATCAGCACCTCTATCCAGAAGGTACCGTACGTTGTCCAATTGACCGTCATTGGCAGCGAGATGTAACGCTGTCCATGACGCGGTTCCACCCCGCACCGAGATATCCACCCCTCTGTCAACCAGCAGCTTTAATACCTCAATCGAACCAAACTGTGCAGCCATGTGGAAAGCCATAAACATATCCTTTGACTTTGCCGACGGATCAGCACCTCTCTCCAGTAACAGACTCGCCACCTCGGGGTGGTTGCCCTGCGCTGCCAGCTGTAAAGCATCTTTCCCAGAGATGTCCAGCATCTTTGCGAAAATATCAGCACCGCTGTCTAGTAGGTACCGTACGGTTTCCAAACGACCATACTGCGCAGCGAGATGTAACGCTGTCCATCCTGCACTTCCACCCCGCACCGAGATATCCGCCCCTCTGTCAACCAGCAGCTTTAATACACCAATCGAATCAAACTGTGCGGCCATGTGGAAAGCCATAAACATATCCTTTGACTTTACCGACGGATCAGCACCTCTCTCCAGTAACAGACTCGCCACCTTGGGATGGTTGCCCTGCGCTGCTAGCTGTAAAGCGTCTTTCCCAGAAGGGCTGTCCAACATCTTTGCGGAAATATCAGCACCTCGATCCAGAAGGTACCGTACATTGTCGAAGTGACCATTATTGGTAGCGAGGTGTAACGCTGACCATCCTGCAGTTCCACCCCGCACCGAGATATCCGCCCCTTTGTCAAACAGCAGCTTTAATACATCAATCGAACCAAATTGTGCAGCAAAGTGGAAAGCCGTAAACCCGAGAGTTGATTTTGCGGACGGATCAGCACCACTCTCCAGCAGCAGCAGTGCCACCTGGGGATGGTTGCCCTGCGCTGCCAGATGTAATGCTCTGTTCCCAGTATCCAGCATCGTTTCGGAAATATCAGCCCCTCTGTCCAGTAGGTACCGTACGTTGTCCAAACGTCCATATCGCGCAGCGAGGTTTAAAGCTGTCCATCCTGGGGTTCCACCCCGGACTGATACATCCGCCCCTTTGTCAAACAGCAGTTTTAATACATCGATCGAACCAAACTCTGCAGCCACATGGAAAGCCATATACCCATCCGTTGACTTTACCGACGGATCAGCACCTCTCTCCAGCAATAGAAGCGTCACCTCAAGATGGTTGCCCTGCGCTGCCAGATGTAATGGTCCGTTCCCAGTATCCAGCATCTTTTCGGAAATATCAGCGCCTCTGTCCAGTAGGTACCGTACGATGTCCACAAGACCATTACTCGCAGCGAGCAATAGAGCAGTCCATCCTTTGGTTTTAGTTTCGCCCTGTAATGATATATCGGCCCCTTTGTCTACCAGGTATTGGACTATTGCGAGATTCCCCCCTATAGCAGCCCCATGCAGGGCAGAGACTTGACGACTGCCCTCCACGCCTAGATGTGCCCCGTTCTCCAGCAGCAGCTTGATGACGGGGAGGTGGCAATTTTTTGCAGCTGCATATATTGGCGTATATCCCGCAGGATCCTCCATCGGTTTTGCTCCCTTCCCCAGTTGCTCTATAAGTAGCTCGCAATCGCCGCTCGCAGCAGCCGACACTAATAGATGTTGATTCGCTTCTAGAAACCTGATCAGCCCTCGTACATAAAAATCGGGAATACAGAGATGCTGAAGGCATGTTTTCTCTTACCTATTCGCCTAACAGAGGCGGAAGCCCGCGGTTGCTTTTCTGGACCTGGTGGACAGTCTACGGGGGCCGGTTTCTTTGCAGAAACCTGGGGTTGCGTCTTTGGACCCAGCGAGTCCAGAGGAACCGGTTCGTTCTTATCTCCAAGAACAAGATCTTTTATAGACCTGGCGATCTGCTTGGGCTTGGGTCTGGCGGCTTGTTTACCTGCGTCAGGGAGTATATGGTTCCAAATGGTCTCATGCTGCTTCTTGATCAAAAGCCAAGAGTGCAGTTGAGCTTTTGATGCGGGGATTCGGCTCGCTGGCGAGGGCTGAAGCATACTAGCTATGAAGCCAACTGCTGAGTGTGGGATACTCCGTGTAACTGCGGTACTCGGTGGAAACGGGTCCCGGCCAGATAAAAAGTTAATCAGGTTTCTCGTCTCGGGGAACGGCAGCTCTTTGGTCAGCATGAAGTATACTAAACATCCCAAAGACCACATGTCGACTGCTGTGGTGTATACACTGGTATCTTCATCACCAAATCCCCAGACTTCCGGGGCCATGAAGGGTCTAGTCCCTGTTGTGGTTCGCCCTTCGGTGTTGCCGTCGAAGTGTTTGGAGACACCAAAGTCACCGATCCTTACTGAAAGTGGTATCCAGTGAGCGATCAGGATATTACCTGGCTTCAGATCACGGTGGCAGATATCATTGTCATGCAATATTTCCAGACCAGCAAGAATCTGTTTTGTAACCCTCTTCGTGTCATCCTCGGATAGGTCTTGTTCCTTGAGCAGTGCGTCCAGGTCCCCTGGAAGGTATTCCATCGCCAAATAAACGTTAATTCCGTCCTCAAACCATCCTGACAGCATAACAAAATGCTCAGGGTACTAATTTGAAAAGACAGAGTTAGTCTGCAAGCCTGGTTCGTCCTCCACCGAGTAAGCGGATGTTCCTAGGGAGTATTACCGAGCGAAGTTGTGCCAAGATTGCGATTTCATTCCACCTCACGAGTGACTTCCTGAGCTGTTTGACCGCTCTGAGATTCCTCCTCTCTGCACAGGTCTCTTTATAAACCGTGCCAAATGCGCCCTCTCCAATGATCTCGGTCCGAGTCCAGGTCTCGTATCTTACAGGCTCTTCGGCGATCGTATGCCTGTAACGTCCATCAATGAATTCCGTGTCCAGTTTGAGCTCCTGAAGCTGTGTGGAAGCGGGTGTCATTTCTTCGTGGGTGGGTGCGTCAACAGTGATATATAGCGCGTGTGTAAATGAAGAGGTTGCGATCCCCGCTCGAGCTTTGTTTGGAGTGGGCGCTGCCACGTTTGTACGACCGCGTTCCTATTGGATACATGTTGTATGTGGCCATTGTGAACATAGCCATTGTAATCGAGCGCGATCATGCTGAGTCCTATCTCGTGCCCAGCCTTCTTCTGATTGGCTGCATGACTTTTCTACAGTCGTTTAAGCCACCCGACCTTTTAAAAAAGATCGTCGGACAAAAAAAGATCAGCGGTCTAGGGTCAAAAGAGCAAAACTAACGCAGGATTGGTAATCATTTACGCAGATCTTTTTGGTTCTTGCTGGAAATAGAGCGAGAGGTAAAATTATTGTAGAAACAGGTGTCTAAAAACAGGGTTTCTGTGGCTGGACAAGCCAATAGGACTCCTCCAATAATATTTATCTGGTGGCTTAAACCCTCTAATACTGCCAGTTGAAGAACAGGGACTTTGGGCCAATAGAAATTAAAAGGGCTGGAGATCTCGCAACTTGGCAGTTGCTTGTCATACTTGGAACCCCTGTTCAGAATCGTCAAGAGACGATGAAGGGCTGTAATTACATACTTGTTTATCACAGGGATAAAATGTATTCGCGTTCCCAGAACATTTAAATGCCTAGTTTGTATGGAAGATCGGTGCCACTCCATAGAAATAATCCCTAACTTTCTCACTTGCATGTTCTGGTTCTTTTTCCTGGACACAAGTACAGCTATCGGTAGAATTATTGCGGAAACAGGGACCGACGATCACGCCGATTTTCCAACGCAATAATTTTACCGATAGCTGTATGAGAGACCACCGCCGCCTCACACAAATTACTCCTTTTCGCTGAGTGGGATATCGCTGAGCAGGGAAACGGAGTATCCTTGCCCCTAAGTAAGTGAAGACAGTGTTGACGCTGTAGTGAGAGGAACGATCCTTGGCGCCACGTGATTATATCTGGGCTGGGCACGAGACAGACTGTCAGTTTTCCTATTTTTATCTCGAATATTTGTTCGCGCAGTACTTTTCTTATCTCACTTGTTCATCTGGGGTTGTGCTTCACTGTCTTAAAGTCGGGGAGAGGTACTTTTATGCCATAGTCTAAGACTGCATGCAGAGTTTTGTACCTAGAACTAATAAAACTACATGATTTAAAAAAAAAAAAAAAAATAGACAGATCTCGTGCCCAGCCAAATCCCTTGGCGCCAAGGTTCGTATCTCACGCAGCTTCTGCGTACTTGCCGGATTTTTTTCTGTGTCCAGCGAACCTATTCTTCCTGATACGGAAGAGTCGCAACGACTTTATCTCTTTTGGGCCGTTGCTTCGTAGCACTCCCATATTTCCGGATGAGGAAGAAACAGCTGGACACAGAAAAGAAGGTACTCACCCGATTATTGACCAATCAGAAGAAGGCTGTGCACGAGACAGCTCTGCTTTGTCGAACGATACGAATCTGATTTCGGCAAACATTAGAGAATGTATTGATTCTGATTCGTAGTAGACAAGACAAGAGAAGAACTAGCTAGCTAGAGATATCTGTGATGGGGACGCCTATACTACGCGGTGAATCGTCAGGTATTTGTTTGTGCGGCACCTCCGCCGACTTACCCTGGCATGCGTAGTACAGACATTGTATAACTAACCACTACGTTTCCTTCGCCTGTCCCACCTACAGGGGCACTTCTGTATTTAGGACTGGGTGCTATGTGGGGAGCAGAACTTCTTGTAAATACTCCTAACCCTCCACGATGCACCCGGGTCAGGGTCCCCCTTTTAACAGTGTCTGACCCGGCGAAAGCGTGACCGAGCCGGAATTCGCTCCGGTCGGGATCCCGACAGAAGTGCACTCCGACTTTCAGCATTGCCGACCGAGTGCATTGACACACCAACCCGACAGTTAGCATTCGGCCTCTAGGAGCAACGCCCATACAGCGACGCCGACCTCCAACCCTAGCTATAGCCGACTCCACCAAACGACACTACCACTTAGTCATACAGTGAGCGCAAAGCGCCTTACACGCCAAGCGCCTTATAGACGCCCATGCATTGCGCTTCTGTTCATGTAGCACAACCTCAACCCCCATGAGTGACCCCTCCACGAGGGCAAGACGACCACCAGCGACACCACACCCAGTATCAGCTACCCCCAGATAGCAGCTACAGCCGACAGGCGACATCTCAGGCAGACCTTCCCCCTTCACCTCACCGTACCCTCCTACACCGACACCTGGCACGTCCTGTAACCTCGTACACCTCGTCCTACTCAGACACGGCAGAGAGTACAAAGCGGACGCCCCAGATAGGTTACACGACCTCAATCATGCCATGTTGCGCAACTTCGACACCCCATGATCGAGCGACATCCCACTCCAGCGACACCACGCCTACCGTACGCTACCCCAGACAGCCGACATATAGACGCCGGAGCTACAGGTTGCGCAACCTCACAAGCGTGCTCAACCTCCACCCCAATCATGGATTATCACTCGGGAAACCCGCCACCGCCGGCCACGCACCCATCGAAACTACCATTCGCTACCCGACACCGGCCTATACACGCTGGCCAGGCTGCGCGACATTCCAGCAAGAGCGTCTTCCTTTGGCTGTGCAACCTCGACCTCCTCACACCGCTTACTCAGCTACATTAGACAACTATATAGGCCCACAGCGTCGTCACCTTGTTGCACAACATCGACACCCGCCCACTCGGTTACGACAGCCACATACAGACGGCTCCCATGGAGGTCGAGCAACCTCTCTGGCACCGCGTCTTTGGCTGCCCAAGTCCACCTTAATCTTCAATTATCACTCTCTCCACCCACGACACCCTCCGCATTACCACCAGAGCACACAGTCTAACAGTACCCATTAAACATCTCAGCCTACGACCCTCAACCACCTCCGAATCCCACCTACACATACGACACGTCCGACACTTTACAATCAACGATTCTATAGCCATGAAATATCACTCGGTGGCCTACAGACCGACTAACCGATGCCACACCTAATACCAGCTCCTCCGACATAGTAGCATCGCGTATAGCACAAAGAGCCTTATCGACACCCACATTTGTATTGCACGTTCCCCCGGTCCCCCCGGCTGCACAACCTCGACCTCACCAGAGTACCCCTATGTACAAAAATCGTCTTTTTAATTTAAGCAGCGCCTATGACGGTGTTTAGGATAATCATCACATACCCGGGTGATCATGATACATTACCGTCAAGACGGGTAAAGACATAAGCCTTATTTTGAGCTCTAAGACATAGAAAATTCTTAAATAAGGCATATGTCTAAAAACAACAAAAAATAAGCCTGTTTTGACGAAAGCATGACATTTGCTTAACATTACCTCCAAATAAGCCTCTTTTAAGACCTTTACTAGCATTAGATATATCAGATAAATAAGAATTAGTAAAATCCGTCACTCTTATGCATATATCAGGGTCTATTAAGGTATTTGCTGGTAATAAGGCTGGGTTAGGTTCGGCACTTAGCAAATATTAAACCATGTTCTCCCATCTGTCCTTTAATACCCTCGTCTCTACCTCTCTAGCTCTACCACTTTGGCCCCCTCTACCTCTCTAGATCTCTATCAGCTTTGTCCCCTCGACCTCTCCACCCCCCGTCATACTCCCAAAATATGTGCTACTCAGCGAATCAAGGAGCGAATTAAGCGGCGAGTCTAGCAGGTACGCACATAGCTAAACATCAAATTAGAATCAAACCAACGCCCGAATTGAGACTAAATCAGCACCAAACCAGTAGCAAATTGACAGGTGATTGCACTAAATTGCACCAAATCGATGACTGACGGTGCACCCAATGGACATCAAATCAGCACCTAGTTAGCATGCAGGCGCAGAGTTAGGTAAGTAGTAAGCCAGGCAAGAAGTTAGGTGGGCAGGCTCAAGGGGTCGTGTAGCGAGTATTCCGCAAGGTATGTAACGTGAGGTTATAAGAGGGCGACGTGGGGTAGGGAGGTGAGCCCGCAGCCAGTTCTGGCGTAGAGAGCGGTCAAGGTGGTCAACGAAGTACAGCACACTAGTCTCCTCGATTGGGAAGAAAGAATAGTATTAGAAAGTAGGAAACAGCGTAAATACAGAAATTAGATAGATATATTGTTATATTGCTTTGAAGTACAAGACTTATTGCACACACCGCCTGCCAGGAATAAGTCAAATAGGAAAGGACAAAGGAAGGACAAAGGAGAAGATGATAGATATGAGAGTCGAAATATTAGAGTTATATATGAGAGTTATTAGATATGGAAAGATGAAAGAAGAGAAAGGAAACCAAGAGCAATAATGCTCTATTCCTTCATCCAGTTCGTGCCAGTCAAGCATTTGTGGTTTTCCCATGAATTGTAGTACTAGGTCGATATTTAGGTTATGAACATCCTGTAACGGCAGCTATATAGTTCGGGTAGGCAATATATTAGAATGTTAAAAGGAGGTATTGCGCAGGGTGATTAGGATTTGTAATGGGGATTTCTATTATGTTCTTTCAGTTTCTGTTACGCAGAAGTATGAGTCATCATCAGACAAGGGTGTTGGATATATAAAGGGGTATTGTCTCATTCTATTTCTTGTTTCCCTTCCTTTCCGTTTCTCTTGACGCAACCTTCTGTATTTACCCTCGCAACACCAAAAACTTTCAAACAACAATAACTTTTGGCCTGCACTCCCGATAAAACTTTTACTCGAACACGATCCTGTATGTCAATAGACTCCGTAATCTATTGATATCTTATCGCACATCTGTTCGTACGCGAAGTTATCCACGCTCTGGTTCCTGAGTTGTGAACTCTCCACCCCTCAACCCTCGCTTAAGCCTCGCGACCGTAGCGAAAACAACAATCTGGCCTCACCAAACCCACCCAACCCACCAAATATCGCGGGTAGAAAGAGAACTCTATCAGAAGTCTTTCCCAACCCAACCAGAACTGGAACATCAG